ATTGCTTTTACTTTTACACCATGGTTTCACTAAGGCCCTGTTTATACTGAGACGCTGCGCAGACGTTTCCAGGCTATTAACAGAAACGACCTGGCTCCTAATGCAAATTTCTCAGCGTTCACATGAGGTTGAAAAACGATGTAGTTCTAGCGCCCGGCCAGTAGTGGGCAGAGAAACTTTACAACACTCACACGACCCCCAGCCCCCGTGCCCCGAGACGGATCGTGGTGCGCCAAACTCTGGAAGTTTATTTAAGTTTCTCTCAAGTTCCAGTGGTTTCCATTGTTTCTTTCTCTCAGACAGAATGGAGTCAGTACAGTTTATATAGTCATTGTCACGTCACACATGGAAAGACATACGTGTCACACAGAGACAGTCACATCATAGTCAAAATAATCAGTCCTTGTACAGTCCTGCACGTAGGCCATATTGCTATCTAATACTAACATACAGGTTAAATGAAAATATAAAAAAAATTGTACAGTCTAACAGCCGAAGGAACAAAGGATCTCTTTAAAGGTTCCGTTCGGCAGCGTAGTGATAGGAGCCTGTTGTTATGTTTTAGCAAATGAGGACCCCAAAGCAGAGTTGAGAGCAGGCTGACAAAAAACAAAAATTTATTCACAGTCCAAAACAAAAAGTAGAAAAATACAATACTGCAGGCAGGCTGAGGGGACAGGCTGGCTGGAATGTGGAGGTGCAGCAACCACAGATCTGGGAAAAATAAGATTCAGTAAAAATGGAATAGATCACAGAAACACGAGCACAATGACACTACCGTAAGAGATGGAATTATCTGGCACTGAAGAGCCGTCCACATTGAGCTTAAGAATCCAGGAGTAAATTGGCTGCAGGTGTGTCTGCTGCACCATCCAGCCACACCCATCACCACCAGCTCTGCAGAGAAACAAAAAAGGGAGGGGGGAGGAACAGAGCAACCCAACCCTCACACCTGTTGCTTCAATGACTCCTCTGAGCGGCCATAGTGTCATGCAGAGGGTGTCTGGAGTTACCCAGGATGCCCTGCAGTAGAGCCCTCATCCTTCTCTCCAGCACAGCTCCCACAGAGTCCACACTTCTCCCCATCACAGAAACACATTTCCTTATCAGCCTGTGGAGCCGTTTACTGTCTCTGAGGTCAGACTGCCGCCCAGAAGAACACGGCACTAACTACCACAGGCTGGTAAAAAACTGGTTATAAAACACAGGGAAGTGTTCATGTGACACAGGTGGAAACAAAAGCGAGTTCAATCTGGAGATGCGTTAAAGATTTATTGATTGAGAGTTTGTTATTTGTTTACAGCGCTGGCTTAATTAGCGGCTTGTCATATGGCAAAAAGAACAGAATCCAAAAGGCAGAACTGCAAAAAATAATACATTTAATAATCCAAAATCCAGGGTAGACAACACAAAGTCACAACAAGAACTGAAAGAGACCTGGCATTGACAATGACAGAGCAGGAAGTGAAGGAACAAGACTAAAGCCTAGTTTATACTTGCGCGGCGCGGAGGTGACGTGACGTCACTTGCGCAACACGTTGGTCACCGCAAGGCCCTGACGCTGCCTGCCGCGCAGCATCGAAATTTTCTAACTACGTAAGGATCGCCGCAAGAAATCTCCGCTGTGATTGGTCCGTGTGTGTGTATTGGAAGGAAGCATGGAGCGGCTGCAGCAGGAGCATGGACGAGGGACTATGGAGCAGACTGCTTCACGCTTCGAAGGAAAAGCAGTTTGGGCTCAGAGCCTGATATACAGGAGACTGTGGACTATCTAACATATATATAGTTTGAGTTTGAGTTTATTTATTTAAGTGTCATGCACAAAAGTGCCCAGCCCACATGGGCTTATATGACACTGAACAACAACATCTGATGGCTACAGACCATATACAGACCATATACAGACATGAAAAACAGAAAAACAGAAAAAGATTTACAATTTGGTGCATTATCCAGGGTACAGAATCTGTTGTCTCCTCTCCCAGGCTTTAGCAACAAAAGAAGCAAAGACAAAAACTTCATGGCAATACATCCAGTTCATAATTTCTCCCTCAGGCCACCAAAAAACCTCTGGGTTAGAAGCATTCACTTTTTCAAATAAAATGTTTCGATATTCAAAGTAAAGTGGACAATACAAAACAAAATGAGGCTCATCTTCTACCACCCCCAGGTCACACACTGTACAGAGACGGGCCTCTTTAGGAACCGCTTTAAAGCGGCCCACCTCCACTGCTAGAGGCAAAGTGCCGGTCCTCAGCGTGGCTAACAGAGAGCGCTGCTGTACGTACAGTTCTGTGTAAAACTCCTGTTTGAATAAAATATAATGTCTTAACTTAGGTTTCCTGCAAATATCAAGTTTCCATTGTGCTTTAAACTCTGTTAATGCGTTTTGTCTAAACAAACTTATATCACATCTTAATTTATTTAAATAAACATAATTTAAATGAGAACTTAAGAATACTTCTGCCATTTCTCTAGACCAGGGGTAATTGTTTGAACAATTCCAAATAAAAATCTTTTTTGTGAGCCTGTGATTGGGAAGCTGGATGAGGCGGTTCCATAAACGCACCATTTCAGCCCTTTGCTTAATAAGACACGGCTCCCATCCCATGTCCCCCTGTATCGCTGGTATTGGGGTGAATTTATGCACTCCCAAAAATGTTCTAATAGCTCTATTCTGGAGAGCATTAACGTGATCAATCTCCTTGAAACCCCAAACTCCCGCTGCATGGAATAGAATAGAGCTGACCAAAGAGTCATACAGTTGTGTATAAACAGAGAAACTTAAGTCTGGGACAATTTTCATTTTACTCACAATGGAGCCCAGAGCTCTCCCTGCAGACTCACACAGAGACTGGGTTCCCTCTGTAAAAACCATGAACTCATTGAAGACCAACCCGAGGTATTTATATGAACGTGTGTAGGTTAATGGAGAAAGGTCATAAAGGAAGGAATATGCACTTTGTGACTGATTCTTTTTCCGGAAATGCATAATTTGTGTTTTATCTTTGTTTAGGGCCAGTCTCCATTTTCTACATCATGCACTTAAAACATCTAACATCTGCTGTAATTTGTCTTCAGTCTCTGCCAGCAAAATAATGTCATCTGCATACAACAGGAGACTTAAGTTGAAGTCATCAATACAAATACCAAGGTTGGCTCCTTTAATTTCGTTCACCAGGTCGTTTATGTACAAAGAAAATAAAGTTGGTGATAATACATCGCCCTGTTTCACTCCAAAAGGGGTGGGAAACCAACCCGTTCTTAGATTGTTTATTTGCACACAGGCAACAGGGGCCTGGTAGAGGGACTTGATGGCGTCATAAAACCTCCCCTTAATGCCATATCCCAGCAGTTTATACCACAGAAGATCCCTGTTAACCCAATCAAATGCTTTTTGGAAATCAATGAAGCAGGCAAACGTAGATTTTCCTTCTTGCAGCCTGGCTCTCAGCACAGATGATAAAACAAACATATGATCAATGCAGGCCCTGCCTCTTCGAAAGCCATTCTGTTCATCTGCCAGGGTCTCATTTATCTCCAAAAAGTCATTGAGTCTATTGTTGAGGATTCCCGAGTACAACTTATACACAGTGCTGATCAGACTGATGCCTCTATAGTTCAGGGGTACTCGAGGATCCAGTTTAGCTGATTTAGTTATAGGTTTAATAATTGACTGATACCAGGCTGAAGGAATGGCTGCCTGTTTAAAACATGCTTGGAAGAGACTGTGCAGCACATTAAGCAGAGGTGGAGCCTTCAGAGCCTCGTTTGGGATCTCATCAACACCAACTGCTTACCTATGACTCTTTGAACTTCTTCCACTGTGATGTCAGCATTTAGCACATCACTTTGACTAAATTCAACACACACCATCTCAACTTCTAGACAGGTTTTTGTGTAACAGATTTCTTTGAAAAAATCCTCATCAAATAATGTTTTTTCACAACCATAGAGGGCGCTACAATCTTGTTGCCATCTTGATAATATTAATTCTTTATCATAGCACACCTCTCCATTACTGTAGATGTAATAATCTCCATTGGGATGGATTTAATTTTCTGAGGGCCTAATTTATTAATTTCCTTCCAGAAACATTTAGAGTTTGATTTCAAACTTTGGAGCTGAAGACTTTGTCCTCTTCTAAACCGTCTTTGGAATAATTTTAATCTCTTATCAAAATAGTTTTGATGCTTTTTAAAAACTGTTTTTAATAGTTTTCTTTCGTTTGAATCCTATATAACTATATAACTTATAAACTGTGCAGTCGTTTATTTTGCACTGTTCCTGTCTTGTTTGAATCGTAGCTGCGTTTGTTGCTTTCCTCCTGCACTCGTAAATCGTTCATGTTTGTCTCAGATATTTACCACTATTATTGTTTTGCTGTTTGTGCTGAAAACTATTTAATAATAACTATGTTTCCAACAAGAACTGTGTCTTTATTCACAGCATCACAGTTGAAATGACTTATAAAATAATGAATCCATAAAACTATCACGTAAACCTACAGTAGAAACACGTTTAATGAGCTCAAACAGCTTTGTTTGTTATTGTTGTTCTGAAGAGGACAAAGTAGCAGCGTAAATGGGACCGCTCCTGTTTGATCGCCCTCATGTAGTTTGTTGTGGGATTACAACATTCTCCTCAAAACTCCGTAAGGGGAACGCGCCAGTATAACATCAATTGTGCTTACGTAGGTCCACCGCAACCGCTAACGTAAGCCACGCCGCGCAAGTATATGTCAGGATGTGAGTGCAGGGTAGATGCAGTTTTAGATCATTGCATGTTTTGTTTACATTTTCTTTGCATGTTGCATGTGTTTAGTGCATGTTTTGTTTTTATCAACATTTTGAGTGCACCCCTGCACAAATGGACTGCTCCGCATTTTTAACCAATCAGAAACTTTCCCCAGTGGTGTGGTGTGACGGAATGATTGTTAAGAGGCAGGGCCAGGAAGCAGAGTGAGTGTCACCGTGCGCGTGTGGACCGTGGACACTGGATTAGACTGACACCAGACCCCCCAGCACCAGCGGGGAACAAAAGGTTGACAGAGCGCTGTGCAGTGGAGCCGTGCAGAGGGGCCGTGCAGAGGGGCCGTGCAGAGGGGCCGTGCAGTGGGGCCGTGCAGAGGGGCCGTGCAGTGGAGCCGTGCAGTGGAGCCGTGCAGTGGAGCCGTGCAGTGGAGCCGTGCAGTGGAGCCGTGCAGTGGAGCCGTGCAGTGGAGCCGTGCAGTGGAGCCGGCTGATACGCCTGAAAAACAGCTAAGTGAAGGGACGTCTGCACGTGGGCTTCTGCATCGCAGAACTTGCTGATTTTAACTATTTGTGCATACACCAATTTTAGCCCTCTCCCCGCAGCTCCTTGGACTGGTGGAGGTGACGGGACTTTTTAGCATGGCTATCGGCATCGGACCTTTCCTTTCTTTTTAGATACATTTTATAACTGACTTTTATCTTTTTCCTTCAACTTGTACAAAATAAAACTGTTCATTTTTTCCTATTTTGTGAGTTGTGTTGTATGGCCCGGGCTTGATTTTATACAGTTGCTATTAAACTGTGACATATACACTAGGCTTAGTGAGACACAGGTAACACACATCAGGGCGGGTAATCAGACAACAGGAAATACAACTAAAGACACAGGGACTAACACATTACAAAATAAAACAGGAAATAAACCTACACCATGCCACGGCTGGAAGGGAGTAGATGAAGCTGAGGGGAGGCTGAGGGGAGGCTGAGGAGAGGGTGAGGTGAGGCTGAGGGGAGGCTGAGGTGAGGTGAGGCTGAGGGGAGGCTCAGGTGAGGCTGAGGGTAGGGTGAGGTGAGGGTGAGATGAGGGTGAGGCTGAGTTGAGGCTGAGGGGAGGGTGAGGTGAGGCTGAGGGGAGGCTGAGGTGAGGCTGAGGTGAGGGTGAGGTGAGGGTGAGGTGAGGAGAGGCTGAGGTGAGGCTGAGGGGAGGCTGAGGTGAGGTGAGGCTGAGGTGAGGTGAGGCTGAGGTGAGGCTGAGGTGAGGCTGAGGTGAGGTGAGGCTGAGGTGAGGCTGAGGTGAGGCTGAGGTGAGGCTGAGGAGAGGCTGAGGCTGAGGTGAGGCTGAGGTGAGGTGAGGCTGAGGTGAGGCTGAGGTGAGGCTGAGGGGAGGCTGAGGTGAGGCTGAGGTGAGGTGAGGCTGAGGTGAGGGTGAGGTGAGGGTGAGGTGAGGAGAGGCTGAGGTGAGGCTGAGGTGTGAGGCTGAGGCAGGCGTGGGCCCTGTGCGATGACGAAGGTAGTCTACCAATTTGAACTTCTGCTTAAGCTGCATTAAGAAGTTCACTGGTCACAGTTACATCCTCCTGAGGGTTAATTTTCAGGTTGATCAAAGTCAGCCAAATGGTCCATACTAAGGTTTCGTCCTTCTCTCTCTCCCAGACTTTCCTTTACACGTCTTGATTGCAATCTGGCTTTACATAACTGTGTTTGTGTTTTTACCAGGATGACTTTATAGGTAAAGGATGACTTTACCCCAGTTGGGGCTCGGGCCTAATTATAGAGCAGCTCCTCATCCTCCAGTAGACGACCCTGATAAACGAGCCTTATTTTCTCTGCGTCAGTGGAGGATTCCCCCACCACTAAAAATATGTACCATAGATATAATCCTCCAGCTCTGGTTCTGACCAAGAGCATCAACATCTGGAGCTGGGTCCTCCTGGAAGAGGCCCTAGAAGCTTCAGGGCAGGTCAAATGAAGCGCAAATTCAGTCGGCACAGTGGCGCAGAGGTTAGCGCGTATTCCTTGCAGCAACAATGTCGTGGGTTCGATTACACCAGAAGGCTTTTTTGTGTGGAGTTTGCCCGCTTAAGTTTCCTCCGGGTGCTTCGGTTTCCCCTACTTACCTCTCTGTGTGGAGTGAGAAACAAATGCCCTCAACAATTGTAAAGCGCTTTGTGACTTTGGTCTGTCAAAGGCGCTATATAAATGAAAACTACCTTCTTGAAAAGGGTGCAGTAACAATCTGCATGTTCTGTTTCCAACAGTTAATAGATTGACGAACCCCCATGTTAGGTTTCCATTAGAAATTACCTCCAAATCTATGTGTTTTGAGCTTGCACAGTTCTTCAATGACAAAGTACAAGTACTGAATTTTTAATAATGAATAACTCTTTTGATATGTTCCCGTTTAGACCCCACCACAGCCGTGAGACCGCTCTAGTGAAGGTACAAACAACATCCGACTGAACACTGACACAGGCAAAGTCTCAGTTTAAGTCATGTTGGATTCGAGTGCTGCGTTCGACACCGTTGACCATGAGATCCTCGTACAGAGACCAGAGGACTGGGTTGGTGTCGCTGGCACCCTCTTACCTTACAGACAGGAAGTACTTTGCGAAGATTGACTTCACTATTTGAGAAGCACTGAGCTAAACGCAGAGAAAACCGAAATGATTGTCTCTGGAGGTTTCACTGTCATCTGAAAAAGGTATAAACATATTTTCATCAGTTTTGTACATAATAGTGTGCAACTCTTTTAACCTTTTAGCCTTATTTGTGAGATTCAAGCTAATTAGTGTTGGGCAAGTTATCTAACTCTACTTGATATCATAAAACATGCTAACAAGGCTAATATTCGTTTTTACATTATGCCAGTCTCACTTTCGTTGCCTTAGATTTATTTACCACAATGTACATTGTAATATCCATAAATGCTAACACCTATTAACGGTTTAATTAGCATTTTTATCAATGATTGCATCACATGTAGTCTATGTTTTCAACTTCTGCAGCTTTTAAAAGTAAAATATTTATTTAATTCAAGTTATTTTGATTAGCATTTATGGATATTACAATGTACATTGCGGTAAATAAATCTAAGGCAACCAAAGTGAGACTGGCATAATGTAAAAACGAATATTAGCCTTGTTAGCATGTTTTATGATATCAAGTAGAGTTAGCTAACTTGCCCAACACTAATTAGCTTGAATCTCACAAATAAGGCTAAAAGGTTAAAAGAGTTGCACACTATTATGTACAAAACGGATGAAAATATGTTTATACCTTGTTCAGATGACAGTGAAACCTCCTACAGATTCAGCCCAGACTGCTGCTGCTGCTGTGAGAGGTCCTTCTTCTACGTCATCGCCGCCATTTTGGCGCCCCCTAGCGTTTGTGAAAAGGTCCGACTTCAAAGCTGTTTTTTTAACATAATTATTATACGGCTCCTCACAGCAGCAGGAGAACGCTCCATTGATTTGAATGTAATTTCAAAACGTTCTACCGGTCATTATTTTCTATAACGGACCTCTCAAAACAATAATGACCGCTGCCCTTTGGCAACGCACTCTCTGCTTGTATTTCAAATGCGTGGATAACTCCGCAAGTAGTTCCGGCCACTCCGGAGCAAGCCACGCTCAATCAACACACTTAAATGTTAATCGGAGAATACTTATACATATACATTCTTCACACACGTGCACGGACATTTTCAGAATTTTCTGGTCTTGTCTTCATGACAAAAATACTATTTCTCTGCGTCAAAAAGCGATCGTGAAAAACCCGGAAGTAGTTCTGGCCGCTCAATAAACGCAAATGCCAATCAATCAACGCAATGAAATGTTTATCGGAGAGTGAATTATACATATCCAGTCTTAATACAAGTGCACGGAAGTTTTCAGAATTTTCCGTTTACGTTTTCATGACAAAAACACTGATGTAATGCGAGAAAAGGCGATCCCGAAAAACCCGGAAGTAGATACCGGCACATTTTCGGACACATTTGCAGAGGATCGAATTATGGATTTAGGTTAGGTTTATGTTTGGGTCACTCACTGCTGATGTTCAGAATTCTGTGTTCAGTTTTCATGCAGTTCCAGAGAGTTCTAGTTTGGAAGTTGCCAGCCTAACTGTTGCTAGCATAGCCACAATTGTCAAAGCCACACTGCCTGCCCGCGGTTGCCGAGCAACGGGAAAACTTTTTGGGACTACTTTATTTGTTGTCATTAAATAAACTTTTGGCATTCATAAAAGTGATCTGAAGTTTATTTTGTGTGTTAAGTTGGTACAAAGCAGTATAATAAGCGGGATAATGTAATGTTACTTAATCTGAACATATCAAAATGAACACCCGAAATATTATAAACACATATTGTAGTTATATATTCTGGATAGCAGCATATTCAATTCTAGTACTACTTTAAGGCCTTTAAAGAAGGTCAGAAATCATGTAATTATGCACTCTGACCTAAATTTCAATTGCCACATTAAATCTGTAACATCAGCAGATTTTTACCATCTAAAAAATAATGCCAAAATATAGTATCCAAAGCAAACCTGGAGATTCATATCCATGCATTTGTCTCCAGTAGGTTAGACCACTGTTAATGGCTGCTCACTGGGCTCACCAAATGAGCTGTAAAACAGCTGCAGTACATTCAAAATGCAGCAGCTCAAGTCTTTCCAGATTGAAATGTCCCAACAGTGGCATTACAATAAAACTCCAGGCATTAAGAGCTGTTTAAAATGTCTATGGGCGATAGATACACAACAAAGAAACATGGATGCAGTTCTTCTCTTTGACAAACCCACAAAGGTAATATTACATGAAATATATTTTATTTAAAATCGTACAGAATAAGCTGAAAATGAGAATACATGTTTTACTTCCAAAATACTGATCTGCTATAAAACACAGGGTAGGAAACGTGTTCATGTGACATCACTGGTGAACCCAAAGTTTAAAACGGAGTTTGAACATAGGACTGTTAGATCCATCAGGTTGATCAAAATCAGCCAAACGGTCCATACTCCGTCTCCATCCAGCTCCGTCACCAATGGTTTCGAAGGAAATATCTCCTCCACGTAATCTTAAAACCAAATGTATTAATGGATCATTTTCAGAGAGGACTTCAGAGAGCTCATCAACATCCTGCAGATGAACCCCACGATAAATGAGTCTCTGTTTATCTGCAAAAGAAACAGGGATTGTATAATGTTAGTGTTGTTTCATGGTAACATGTTCACAGCTGGTGTCTGAGGTTACATTTGTTCGACTCTTATTTGGACAAAAATCACATTTGTGCTGTTTTTACCCATGCATTTTTTGCAGACTATCTATAATCCTGACATAGATCAGGATTATTGATTTGTAATTCTTTCGTAGATGCAAAGATAGTCCAAATGTATAACTTATGTCTATGTGATCATTTTCATAAATCCTCTTTTTGTTTCATCATCTTTCTATATTACAATGAAGCCCTTCTTCCAGATGCTGGTCCTGGACTGATTCTGCACTGGTTTTGAACCAATTTGTCTTGGTTTGACACCAGCGAAGAGCGAGTGCTAGATACCATTCGACTGCAACAGCTATGGCTCAGATGACAAACGATTGGTTGGCAGCATTAGACAATAAAAGGTTAGCAGGAGCTGTGTTGCTGGATTTCAGCTCAGCTTTTGATCTTATAGATCACAACCTTCTGCTGAATAAAATGCAATGTTATGGGTTCAGTCCAGCAGCATCACTGTGGCTTGAGAAGTATTTAGAAAACAGGAAGCAAACTGTATTTTTCAATGGAAGCTTCTCAGACGTAAAAACAATTGGCTGTGGTATACCTCAAGGAAGCTGCCTTGGACCTCTCCTGTTTTCTATTTTTACAAACGACTTGCCACTAGTACTACAAAAATCAAAAATAGCATTGTATGCCGACGACTCAACCATTTATTCATCACAAAATACGGTTGAAGAGCTGGAAATTATTTTAAGGGGGGAATTAAAATTAGTGTGTGAGTGGGTTACCAACAACAAGCTAGTTCTGAACATTAGCAAAACAAAAAGTATTGTATTTGGAACAAAACATATGCTGCTGGATGAACCCAAATTGAGTCTTGTCATCAGAGACGTAGCTGTGGAGCAGGTGCCACAGACCAGACTGCTTGGTATTGAACTTGATAATGAGTTGTCTTGGTCAAAGCATATCAATACGGGGGCCAGTAGAATGGGGAGGGGCCTCGCTGTGGTTAGAAGATGTTGTCATATGTTGTCTTCCAGTATGACTGCAGATGTTTTAAAAACCCTGGTATTGTCACAGTTAGATTACTGCTCAATCATATGGTCATGTGCTGCAGTAACAAAGGTAAGGACTTTACAAACTGTCCAAAATAGAGCAGCTCGCTGTGCTCTTCGGTGTTCCATCAGAACAAATGTAAACTGGATGCATGACACACTGTCCTGGCTCAAGGTGAAAGAGATTCACTGGTTCCTTAATGAATGTAACCAGAAATATAATTAAAAGTAAAGTTCCAAATGTATTGTACAGAGAGCTAAATTTTAGTCTGGAAGAGCATCATTATGAAACCAGACATGCCACAGAGGGCAGATTTAAACTGCCCAAAGTAAGAACTAACAATGGAAGAAATACTGTAATGTATAGAGCCATGTATGGTTGGAACACTTTGCCCAGTGACATTACTCATGCAAACAGTAAGTACCAATTTAAGGCCCTTCTGAAAAGACATCTGTTTCATGTAACTGGTTGATTTTATAAAGTTGTGTTATGTGACCAAATGTTTTGCTGCTAAGAGTCAGATTAATCTCCTTTTTTTGTTTTTTGTCAGAATATTTCTAGGTCCTTTGTACAGTTGCGTGTGTATGTAAGAATGTATGTTGTGTGTGTGTGTGTGGGGGGGGGGGGGGTGTCTTTTATTGTATCACTTGTTGGTGAAAACTGGTGTAAAACATGTTTTGTGACCAGCATGCTGGACTGACTCCAGGAAGAATAGATGTACTTGTTACAACTAATGGAGATCAAATAAATACAAATACAAATACCATAGCAACACACTGTTTACTTCATGCCTCACGGTGAGAGACTTGAGAATCCAATGAGACTTCCAGATGGTTTCAGGCGCTACAGGTATAAACAGCTCTGGATCCTATACCTGTAGGGGTTCCTTCCTTCTCTTCTATGGACTTTTTCAGATCCAGGACGGTCGACTCTTGGAACTCTTGGCAATCATACTTTACAACTACAGTTTTGCCATAGAGCGTTTTGATCTTCATCTGTGAGAAAACGGGAAAAAAAAACCACAACGTCAACATTTCAATGTTTGCAGCCTGTGGAAGTTCAGTCTGGTAGGCTCCCTGCAGCAGCCCACCTCCTCCTTTGACCTTTTTGCCATCAGCATTAGCTAGGCCAGGGGTGTCCAAACTTTATGCTTCCAAGGGCCAAAGTAAAAATGTGCCAGTGGGCCGCGGGCCAATATGATATTATACGTAAAACACAAATAAATGTAAATTGAAGTTTAAATATGAACGAATGAAGTCGGATGTATCTTTTGATGAAATATGAGGCAAGATGTTGTTATATTTGGGTTTTAAGAGTAATGCAGCTCGCGGAAATTCAATTTAGAAGACGTCAGCCAAAAGCTACCCCCTCCAGGCCGGCTCGCATCCCCAGCCTATCGCACAGCAAACGCCCCCTTCCAATCATCCGTGCCGGCCAGGCCAGCCGCTTAAAAGCGGAGAAACTCCCACTTCACGGCCTGTCTCTGCCCCTACAGGTCTCCGCTTCTACACGGACGTGCCCCTTCCGTGGGTTTTGGGGGGTTCTTCCAGGACCATTGGGTTGCCGGGCCGTGGCCGCTACTTCCACCGGAGCATCTCCTCTGCCTACACGAGATATTCCCAGTGGTCGTGGCCTGCGCGCTGTGGAATCACACGTGGCAGAGAAAGAGGATCTCTGTCATGCGTGATAATCTCGACGTAGTGGAAGCATTACACAAAGGTCGCTCTTTTTCACCCAACATAATGTCCCCTGACCATTTCAACCTCCATCTCAAACATTCAAAGACCAAGGCGCCTGCAACACAATAATAGCTCGCTCCGACACATCTCTCTGCCCCTACAGGTCCATGATGCGTTACACTCGCCTCCGCTGCAAAAAGGAGATTTTAACGGACCTCTAATTCTCACTCCAGACATTCTTCCCATGACAGCAACCTGGTTCAGAGCTCGACTAAGATCCCTACTGCTCCTCTGCAATTGTCTCCCCAGCTCTATACAGCCCACCCCTTTAGGATAGGCGCTGCCACGTGCGCGGCCTTGCTGGGGCTCCCCCACACCTCTCTGCAACAGCTGGGGCGCTGGTCCTCTTCGGCTTTCTCCGCCTACATCAGGCCAGATGCGACCGCTATCATGGCAGCACAACGTCTACTGGCTTCCTCGTAAGCTCCCAGCAAAGCAATACGAAGCAAAGTAAGTGAAGCAATAAGATTCTGGTGGCGGCACGCACTTTTCTCAAACACTCTCCGCTGCCGCAGCGTCTGACGGAACGTGATGCGAGCGCTCACGTTCCCAGCGCGCAAAGATAACCCTGCTGCAGCGTCTGGTTGATTGTGATGCGAGCGCTCACGTCCCGGCGCTCAAAGATAACCCCGCTGCAGCGTCCGGTTGATCACAGTATATAGCGATAGCGGTCACAGCATATAGCGATAGCGGTCACAGCATATAGCGATAGCGGTCACAGCATATAGCGATAGCGGTCATAGCATATAGCGATAGCGGTCACAGCATATAGCAAAAAATGGTTAGTGCATAACGGTCACAGCATAGCGATAGCGGTCACAGCATAGCGATAGCGGTCACAGCATAGCGATAGCGGTCACAGCATAGCGATAGCGGTCACGACGTCTGTCCCCTCCAAACCAGGCTGCAAAACTCCATCAACACACAGCCTTTTGGGAATTGTGCGCGCTCTATCGCAGGAGCCTCTCCGACTGAAGGCCGCACCGGGGCCTAGGGCGCCAAACCACCTCTCATTAAAATACTCAAAAGCATTCTCGTTTTCTCGTCTCTCCAAATTGAAATGCAGCTCGCGGAAATTCAATTTAGAAGACGTCAGCCAAAAGCTACCCCCTCCAGGCCGGCTCACATCCCCAGCCTATCGCACAGCAAACGCCCCCTTCCAATCACCCGCACCGGCCAGGCCAGCCGCTTATAAGCGGAGAAACTCCCACTTCACGGCCTCTCGAAGCCTTGCAACCACCGCCTCCCCTCCTCCTCCTCTTCACCCTGCCTCCAATCTGCCTTCAATCTGCTTCCTGCTGCCAAAATGCCGCCACCAGTGCCTAGGTCCCGGGGGATTGTGCGCGCTCTATCGCAGGAGCCTCTCCGACTGAAGGCCGCACCGGGGCCTAGGGCGCCAAACCACCTCTCATTAAAATACTCAAAAGCATTCTCGTTTTCTCGTCTCTCCAAATTGAAATATGTTTGTGTAGAGTCTGGTTTAAGTACTGGTTTAACTGCTGTCAAAAACTACACTACGCAGCAGGGTTGCCAGGTTGGGTCGTTTCCTGCATACGTTTGTTTCAAGCGACGTGTAGGTAATAAAGAGACAAAAAGACAGTAAACAGAATCTTGATACCCCGAGTTGATTCTCCTGGATGTTTTTTTTTATTTTTTGTGGGCATTTTTGCGGGTTTTGGGCTAAAAAATCTTGCCAGCAACTGGCAAGCTCAGCGAACTACAAGGGTCTGGCGAGAGTCAGGCTAGATATTGTTACAGGTCAGCTCAAAACCATCCGTGAGACACAATTCACTAAACGCTGTCTTTAAGTTAGAGTTAGATTGCTCACTTACCTCTACAGCTCCTTCTATTTTCAAGTTCAAATGTCTTTTTGGATTCTTTTCAAAGATGAAGTCAGATCAGTGCATCATCGCACAGTAGACGAAGCTTATATAAATATAATATCATTTGACCTGTAAAAGAAACAGTGTTATAATTTAGGGCTGTCAAACGATACATTTTTTTAATCGAGCTAATTTCAGCTTAAAAATTAATTAATCGCATTTCAAACTATTGGCAAAATTATGCCATATTTTTCTGTAAATTGTTGTTTGAATGGAAAGATAAATGACAGCTTAGTGAACATATGTACTGTATTTGTTTGTTATAACAATAAATCCATATAAAATGGAATTAACATTATTAACATTCTGTCTTTCTGTTTAGACTCCGACCAAAACCATTGTTTGTTACAGATGAGGGACATTTGGACACCATTACTTTTTTTGGCACAACTAACATGAACTGATGGTCGAAAGGAAAATTAGGTACCTCAGCTTTAATTTAGCGAGTGCGCTTCGGGAGAAGACACGGAGGAGACTGAGGCTCCGCAGTCCAGCTTCAGCGCTGTACATATTGTGTGCATCGGTTACACAAAGATTTGAATTTTGAATCTGGCGCCAACACTGGCGCGGCAGCAAGACCTGACGTCTGAAGCAAGACCTGACGTCAGCAGCAAGACCTGACGTCTGAAGCAAGACCTGACGTCTGAAGCAAGACCTGACGTCTGAAGCAAGACCTGACGTCTGAAGCAAGACCTGACGTCTGAAGCAAGACCTGACGTCTGAAGCAAGACCTGACGTCAGCAGCAAGACCTGACGTCTGAAGCAAGACCTGACGTCTGAAGCAAGACCTGACGTCTGAAGCAAGACCTGACGTCAGCAGCCCCCCGCCCAGAGCAATGTAAACGGCCCAGTCTCGTTCACACCCCTTTAGTCCTCCAGGCTGCGCCCATTTAGAGGAAGATTTGAACAGGAAATGTGAGTAACGTAAGCTCCGAGGAGCGGGGGTGAGAACCACTTTAAACACATGCAGTGGCATGAAACAAATGTAACAGAAAAGATAACTTACATCAAACAAGAGAACAGCTCAATTTACGCATGAGGAGGTAAAACACAACTTGACTCATGCGGACACTCGCTCCACTCGCTGATCTAAACCACATACAGCTAGCGGCCTTTAGTGTAAACTCTTCAGACGGAAATGAGCGTAGTTTACAAAGAGATGGACAATCGCGTCTTCTGTGTGAGGAGGAGGAGCAGACAGGTGTGTGAGGAGCAGAGACTTCTGTGTGAGCAGAGGAGGAGGAGGAGCTAGACACAGGTGTGTGAGCTGCTATTACCAATGTTTAGTTAATATACACATAAAAAACTAATTATAAAAACATTAGCAAACAGCCTATACCCAGCTTTTGTGCCCACTGTGAGTGCAGTGGATTTTGGGCATAAAACCACCTTGTTGTTGTCAGAGTGTGTGGTGGAGGAGGAGGAGAAGGAGCATATGTTGTAGTCAGAGTGTGTGGAGGCAATAGCAAAAATGTTATTTGATGGGAAAAATATACAACAAATATTGACTCCGCTTCATAGCCATTTTGGCGCATTTTGCCGTAATCTAACTATTAGAAGAAGAAGAAGAAGACTCCTTTTGGCTCAATCTTTAGAGTTGCTCTGCCATTTTGCCACAGGAGGAAAGAGCCATGTCAGCTGCAAGACACCAAGACCAATTTTGCAATGCCAAGCGCTGAAACAGTGTGTGTGTGTTTGTGTGTTTGTGTGTCTATGTGCGTGAGTGCGAGCGTGCGCCCGACGCTGCGTTGGAGCGAGGCAGTGCTGTATTCATGTAGAAGATTATGGGAAAACTTTCCTCAGATCTCGGAAACAAGTATCAGGGTAGGGCCTCGCATTTCAAGTTTGCACAGGGCCTCACACCCTCCTTGCGACGGGCCTGCCTGTATCTACCTGTAGGGATTCCTTCCTTGTCTTCTATGGACTTTTTCAGATCCAGGACAGTCGACTGTTGGAACTGTTTGCAATCATAGTTTACAACTACAGTTTTGCCAGAGGGCATGTTTATCTTCATCTGTGAGAAAACAGTAAAACATGTCAACATTTCAATGTATGCAGCCTGTGGAAGTTCAGTCTGGTAGGCTCCCTGCAGCAGCCCATCCAAGCCCACCCCTTTCATCCTCGGCCAATCACAGAGCCCTGCCAACCTACACCAATCAGCCAATCAAGCCAGTGTTTAAAAGCAGAAACTTCAATCAACTAACCCTTTTCCAGCCTTGCAAGAAGTTTGTCCACCTCCTCCTCAAACTTCAAGCACACGCTCTCATCACTACTTCAACCTGAAGACCTAGGTCTTATGTCACCACCAGTACCAAGGCTCCGGGGAAATTATAAGTAAGTAAGTAATCTTTATTTATATGCCGCCTTTCACAG